CAGGAAGGCATGCCACTGTCTTCTTGGCTCCAGAGTCAAGGTAACTCAGTGAGGACCCTAGAGCTGCAGCCATCTCCTGGTCACACAGAGGGCTGACTCCCTTCCTCCCCTGCCCACCTGCACCTTTCAGGAGGACAGGTGCTACTCTGAGAAATGCCCCGAGGATTCAAAGTGCAGATCTGCAAAGAGACCTCCTGTGGTACTAAACAGCCCCTTGAAGTCACCATGTGTTCAACCAGGACTTCCCATGGAGAACAGGAGATGCAGGGGCATGAAGGGTGTTACCTTCTGCATTTGCAGGCCCCTGTCAAAAGCTCTGTTTTCATTTATCTTGGGGGAAATCTTTCCAGCCTCACTGGGTGGCCAAGCCTCTGTAGAGTCTGTCCTTAGTTTCTGCACCAACTTCACTGGCAGCTGGGGCACTTGCCAAGAGCAGGCAATCAGCCTGTTCAGCTCAGGAAGTGCCATCAGCAAACTGGAGATGCTGCCCAGCTGCAGGCCGAGCTAGTCGGATGCCCCATGCACCCTGCAGGGAGGGTGGGCGGTGGGGCTACCATCTGGCAAAAGAGGTCTATAGCAACATTTCTCAACCCATGGGTCATGACCCAAAAGATTGAAAGAATATATGAAAGGGTCGCACACGGACTTTAAAAATGGATCAACAAACTTTAAAAATGGGTTCTCCTTTAAAGGAGAAAAATGTGGGAAACTGGCTTTTCCCTTGCAGGCTGAGTTCCAGCCTGCAAGGGGCTGCTTGAGGCCCCCCCACGTCCCCCCTCCCCACACACACTGTGAGGCAGCAGGTCAGGAGCGAGGGGCACTGGGTCAAGACTGGTCATCAATGTTTACAAATGGGTCCTGGTACAAAAAAAAAAAATGTTGAGAACTACTGGCCTACAGGACGCTCCAGGCTCCCCAGTTCCTCAGGGCCATTTCCAAAAAGGGCAACACTTTTTATTTTTTTTGCATTGCATCCACCCACCCAGCTCAAAGCACGTTAGAAGGAGTGTCTAGATCACTACCCCTCACTTACAGAGAAAGGAACCAAAGGAAGAGAGATTCAGTATTTTAGGATCCCATAGCAAGACAGCCACACAATAGGGAATGGATCCCAGGAGTCCAGGCGCCATCTCCTGGCTCCTCTTGCTACAGCAGCCTGCCTCCCACCTGAAGGGTATGAGCCCTGCCAGGTAGAGCGATTCCTACCACTCAGCTACATGCAGCACTGTACCTAGTGTCCTGGCGGCTCTGAGTGAACTTTTAGTATTGGGCCCCCCTTTGGCAGAGATAGTAATAATAATAATAATAATAATAATAATAATAATAAAATTACCATTTTCAGGCCTCCTTTCTGTCCAGACCCTAGATGGCCACCTGGTTTGCCCATGCTGGTGTCCAGCTCTGACTACATGCAAGAATCCCCTCTCAGGCACCCACATCCCAGTAGAAGGGTGGATTAAGCATGGGTCAGCGCTGGGAAAGTTATACCCTGTCCCACCTTCCTTTGCAGCTTCTGCTCTGTGCTTTCTCCTTGGCCTTCATGCCAGCTGCCTTCACAGAAGCAAAAGACCGAAGCAAAGCAGTCAAAGGAAGGAGAGGACAGGCTCGGGACAGGGTCCAGCTCCCGGGGGCCCAGACCTCCCCCCCAGACCCCAGGCTGAAGGCAAATGCATTGGCCATGGATGATACATACACCATGGTGGAGGAATATGAGGAGAGCATTCAGGAGATGGTACGCCAGCTGAGGAACAGCTCGGAGCCCCCTGACACCAAGTGCCAGGTCAGCCTGGGACTCTGGAGTCCCAACAAGAGGAGTCTGTCTCCGTGGGCCTACAGGTGAGGCTGCAGGGCAAAGCACCACTGGGATGGGTGCTCCCCAGCCCGGGTAAGGCCCTTCCGCGCACAGAACAGGGCTCACAGCTGACGGCAACCCCAGTTAGATAGTGTGTAACCCTACAGTGGGCACTAAGCCCACTTCACAAGCTGCTGCTCCATTGCCACAGGACCACGTTCCTCCATGTGTGGCTAGTGCAGCACAGGCAGCCAGGCAGAGAGAGCTCCAGCAAGCCCCTTTCTCCATGAGGAGGCTTGCTCCTTGCATACCCAGGTCCTGGCTTGCAGTTTTTGTGGCACCCATACCCGTTTCCAAGGAGGAAAACCCTACCTATTCCAATGGGGCCTGCCCAGGCTGAGCCGTGTCCCTGCACCCTCTCTTCTTTCACAGCATAAATCACGATGCAATGCGGATTCCCACGGACATCCCAGAGGCGCAGTGCCTCTGTGTCGGCTGCATCAACCCCTTCACTATGCAAGAAGACCGCACCATGGCCAGCATCCCCATCTACAGCAGGCTGCCTGTCCGCCGCCTGCTATGCCAGCCAGGGGCCAAGGCCCCCAGGAAGAAGAAGGGTTGCCACAAGAAGTACAGGATGGTCATGGAGACCATCGCCGTGGGCTGCACCTGCATCTTCTGAGGGAGGACAAGCAGGTCTTCCCAGCTCTCCCACACCCCCATGCAGAACTAACCTGAGGCCTTTGGGCCTGGAGAGCAGCTGCCGTCTAAGCAGCCACTTCTCATTACAGCCATTTTGCAAGGGCCCC